ACAAGTCATGCATTAAACCCTCCTTACCCCTCTTCCTTCCCATCACTTCACAAGCCTTAACAGTCATCACCGGTACACTCAGCATAAACTGCGAATTCTTATGACGCAGCACATTCTTTTACACTATCTTTTTTTATAGCTAGATGTGTGAAGAGGAGACGGAAGGGCACAGGACAGTCCACCAAGTTTCCACCGTCAGCCGTCATGTCTACACAGAATACACAGTAAGATCAACAGTATTACTCCCAGCTGGAATCATCACAGGCGACGACGTTTCTATCCAGAACAAAAATTCGCCATTATATTGTACACTGTGTTATATTATTAGTGTAAACAGTGTCTGACCACCCCAGTCCTCCCATATAACAATACACACAACTCGCGTCATACAAAAGATTATCGGGCGAATGTCTCTACAGCTACTGCCTGGAGTCTGAGGATAACAAAAACCTAACAACTTCCTGTAGGGTCCTTCCGCGGAGTCAACGTGCCGCCAGCGACCTCTTTAGCCATAACATAAGGATGCTGCAGACCACCACGAGGATAATTAACGGCAGCATTGTCTCATCAACACGCTGAGTCACGCATATATCACCTATCCAAACACTTTATAGCATACCTCTACTAGTACCGGACCGTCACACACCGCCAACATCACACAGCACGGAATATACCGCCTCTATTTGGTGCATATTACTCGGATAATAAAAAAATTTTCTTCCATAAGTATGCGCAGGTATCATGTTACCATCTGCACGGGTATGGGAGGTAAGCAGTCGTGTTTCACCTCCACACTGCTGCTTGCCACACCCTGCCAAACTTAATTAATCTATCACTGGTCCTGTCCACAACTGTCCTTAGGCATTCCAATCTAAACCTGAAGATTACTACACACAAACAACAAACACCCACTGATACTCTGTATCCGGGAGATGAAAATAAATTGTTTCTGCAACCCTAAAAAAATGGAAGGCAAATCAAATGACATAATTATAATATAGGGTCGAGAGACAGAACGCAAATATTTAAGTCACAGGGCTACCCAACACTTGTATCTTTAGTTACGCAATTCATAAATATGAACACACCTCTAGGATACCCCCCCCCCCCACAAGCATCAGCCATGGCTCGCCAACAGCAATAATACCCCGTCAAAAAATCTGCAAACTAACCATCAAGACGTGGCAATGTACCGCAGAAGCCTGTGGCCATGTGACGATGGTCTGTGATAACGACAACACGCAAGATATAACCAGCAGCAGGTAAGACGCAGGTCCTCGTTCCCAGACCCAGCCAAGAGATTCACCGTCAATTACCCGTCATAAACCGCCACTTGCAAGCAGTGGCTGCAACATGGCTTACGGATCTCATCGTGTTTCCAACGCCAAAGGCACTCTTAAGTTTCTCTTCAGTCACTCTACGTCATATCAAACAAGCAAAAAACGAAAGTTCAAAGCTTTAAATCAGCGGGTAAAATAACAATGATCTGTCACGCAAATTAAAAGGTAAGAAACCGACTCTTGGGGAGTTCCAAGAAATTCCAAACTAGTCAATGACCACCATCACACCGGCTGACTAATGCCAGAGAGGGGCAGCCTCCTCAAATAAACGTCTCACCTTCACTATCGAGCCTGGAGCACCCGCACCCCCACCCCCCAAAAAAAATTATATATATATATATATATATATATATATATATATATATATATATATATTATATATATATATATATATATATATATATATATATTATATATATTATATATATATTATATATATATATATTTTATATATATATATATATATATATATATATATATATATATATATATATATATATATATATATATATATATATATATATATGGCTGCATTTATAAAGTCCCTTGCAAGGAATGTAATGTTTTACTTAGGCCAGACAGGTAAAGATCTTGTAACTCGACTTAAACAGCATAAATATAGTGTTAGGACAGGCCAGGAATCCAATGCTCTGTTTGTTCATCTGAGGGATAATAAACATTACATTGACTGGGATAATGCCTCCTCAATATTACCTTGTAATTCAATTGACAGTAGGAACATTATAGAATCTAGTCTCATTAAACATACCGAATCCGTTAACATGAATTTGAGTAATGGTATGTACAAATTGGACAATTTTGTAATTAAGAATATTTGTAACCAGGTGAGAAGGTTGGGTCAGTTTTCCCTCTGACCTGACTACCGACCGCTGCGGTGCTTTTGTGAAGATTAGTAGGGTCATTACCTATACTTGACCTCTGTGGACTTGATCTCACCCTCCTCTGTATATATAACTTGTTCTGCACTTCTACTTTAGTTTGTACTCACCCCTGAAGATGTGAATTACACGAAAGCGCTTGGGAACTTCGTGTTTTCTTTTTCCTTGTGGTTATCAGCATATACCTGGATCACGCGCACCTACAGTGATTTATTTGCATATATATATATATATATATATATATATATATATATATATATATATATATATATATATATATATATATATATAGAGCATGGAAGCTGAGAGAGAGAGAGAGAGAGAGCATGGAAGCTGCAGACCAGTAAACGGAGTGTTGGCAACATACCACGACCCACCCTCGTCCATAACACCCACCCACCATCCACTGTACACAAGCTAAATAATGAACATTTCATTCTGAACATCGTTATTAGGTTATACAGCGGGTGACATCAGTGGGCACGACAGACCTAGCACAACACATTTTCCACAAAGCCTTGGTTTTATTCCCCTCATATGAGATTAATAAAGTTACTACTGAGCTGCGGTTTATAATGTCTCACCGGCTTTTACACCATCAGACGTCCGCCTATAGCTAGTCTATATCTACCACGTTCTATTGATCCTTCCATTTATTTTGCCCTTCAATTTTCAATTTCAATTGTTTATTCCTTGATAGAGGAAGTGGGATCCTAGTGCTGTCACTAGGTACCCCTGATTTTGCCCTTTAATAGTTAACTAACACTGGTGTATCATAGTGCCAGTAGGGACAAAACAGCGTGACTTGTCGGATTACCTGCCTACGTGCACATGAGATAGGAAGATGGTGTGGCAAGTGAGCGTGACGAGCCTCCACCACACCCCGCCGACAAGGACGTGCTGGAGTCGACCATCCTTGTGGCCTGCCACTCACTCATCTCTGGCCATTCCTGGTAAGACGATACTACTGAACAATCTCTCTCTCTCTACCGGCTCTTCCCAATATAAAAATGCCATTGGTATAATGATTTGCATCCTTATCATGACACTTCATAACACCCATCAGCTGGTCTCCAAAACAGGTCATGCTTCCCTAATAACAACACGAGTCCCGTGGCAACAAGTCATCACATACCCAACAAATTCCATAGTCGATTTTGAAATGCCATCAGGAGACGGTTAAAAAACACTAGAATTCGAGGCGCGCGCACACAAACACAGGTTCCCAAACTTTCCCTTTTACACCTGACTGGGTTCCTCCAAGTGCCGGGCAGACTGGGCAGTGTTATAACCAGCTGTAGTGCATTTCATAACCATACTCCAGGTTATTAGTAAGGTCATGAGGCGAGTGAGGAGGGAGCTTCTCCATTACCCCCTCCTCCCTCCTCAACGCTCGCTTGGATCACACTGTTTTCACATCCCACCTGCAGGCCAGTCAAGTAATCGCATCAGAGTACATTAATTTCCATCCGGTTAATCAGGTACACTTGACAGGAATGTATCAAGCTCCATCTTGTAAATTTAGTCGGCATAGCTATGATTCTTATAATACTAGCAGGACGTTGAGGTGCATGTTACTGCAATAATTGGACTTCAACATTAAGGTAAACTGGAGGGCAGAGGCTTGGGTGGCGGCCATGACTGACTTTGACGGATGATGATGGTGTGAGGTTAAGATGAGTGTAGGGAGACCTGGCTGGTGGCCAGGAGGTCACCTGCCTTGGCACTCACCTTCACTACGTGTCCTTACATAACTTCACGTACACCTACCTGACAGCACCATTTACCTTGTGGTATTATTAAACGCTAATCCCTCCATCACGACAACACTCATTATTTGTCACAACAGGCAGCGCGCCACCTCAAATGAGTTTTCTCGCCATCAAAGTTCTTCATCATCAACAAGTTTTATTCAAACCACCACATGATTTGTTTCTCCTAACTCCCCAATTTAAGCAAAATTCCCAACACCTGTGAGGAAAAATGGTCGGTGTACCCAGGAAGGTGTCCACGTCGTGACCTGTGAAATTTACGCCCCAGGAGGCCACGAGAGCATCAGTCATCTTCTACACCATCTTCTGATTTTCCACACAAGAATTTTCAATGATAGGAACACCATTAGTCAGTATCACCACCATGCCCACGACAATGCCCCACCTTGTCTCCGATGTCATCAATCACTTCTCAGCCAGCTGGGGCAAGGGACCAACAAGGTCATGCAGGCGTCACTAAAGCGTTGATCAAGTGAGCCGTCACCACTACCACCACCTGCTGCTGCCCGGGGGTCGCTGCATTTATTATCTCAGCTAATAAATTGTTGATGATAAATCGACATTAAACAGGATCCTTACTGGTGGTCACGGGTTACTTGTGCTCAACACACTCTAGTGTACATCACGTGCCACATCACCTTTAATCCTCTGACACACACACACATCTCCCTCTTATACCCGTCACTGTATATGATGAATAATAAAACATAAGACAGAGTGTTTGGCTTAGTTCTTCTTCTTCTTCTTAATATTATCATTATTTATTTCTATCATCGTTATTATTATTATTATAATTAAGAAGGGATTAACGTTAGGTTTGGGAAGCAAACAGTGGTAAATGTTGGACCCGAGGACCATACTGACATAATACAAGGAAACGGACGCAAACACAACATTTAGTATTTGAACACAATAATGACTGGGAAAACATTAGAACACAGTACGTAAAGAATCCATCCTAACCCACGCCAATAGAATATTATTATTACCCTTTGATGTGAAGGAATTCAGATCCTGAAACACAAAGCACTACTGGTGTGGCCTGCAGGTGCGAGGTGAGCATACCAGTGTAAGAAAGGAGAATACATCAGTACAATACTTATCAAGGGCCGTCCACCACCACCATGACCACCAAACATACCTGCAAAGAAAACAAAAAATAAATTACAATCCGAATGAAGAATCAACGGATAAAATAAATTCATATATACTAAATTACAGAAAGATAAACAATTAAAAAAGTATATAGATTGCCGAAACTATTTTGTTGAGGTACAATGGGAGCAAGGTCAATATAGAGAGGTCGGCCATGCAGGCGAGGTCCAAGGCGGGCGGGAGTGATGACGTCAGGTGATCCACTCTGCCTGAGTCTCCTTGTACTTGACAAGTTGACCCCAGTCTTACCCGGGCCATTTGTGTGTACACACCACTGTCTGAGGCTTTAATTTTGAGAAGCATAAGTCCCAAATGTAATGAATATCTGAGAACTAAAAAAGGAATTCCTTTGCCGAGTAAAACAACGCTTAATGAACGAGCCAAGAATTTTGCCTGCGAACCTGGCATCTTACGCTCTGTGCTGTCACTCATGAAGACAAAGTCTGACACTTTTAGTCCACTTGAAAGGTTAGCTGTGATATCATTAGATGAAATGGCCATTGCGAGGAATGGAGTCACGAAAAAGGTAAGGACATCCTATATAAGCTTCATGAGAAAATCCAGGTTGTCATGCTAAGCGGACTGGAAGGCAATTGGAAGCAGCCAATTTTGATGACTTTGATGTCCCATATATACAAAAGATCTTGTTAACTTTAATAGAAGAGCTTGAGCACGCAGGTTACCCTGTCGTTGCATTGGTGAACGACTGAGGCTCCAGTAACCTTAGGATGTGGAAAGAATTTAACACTGATCCCGTGGAAAGAAAGAAAATATCTTTAAAAAACCCGAGTGCTGATCGGGATATATTTGTGTTTGCAGACGTGTCACATTTGATTAAATTAATTAGGGATAATTTTCTCGATTCAGGATTTTACCTAAAGGATGGAAGCTTAATATCTGATTCCACTATTCAGGAAATGATGACAGCAAATAAGATAGAGAGTGGTTTAGCATACAAATTAAGTGAAATGCATTTTAATGTATGGGGTCAGCAACGACAGCGGGTTAAATATGCAGTCCAGTTGTTGTCAAAGACAAGCTCTAGCTCACTGAAATATCTTGGAGAAAGAGGACTACTGGAGAGTAGAAATTGGAAGGAAACTGCAGACTTCATAAATCTGGTGGACGAATGGTCTGACATTATTAATTCTTCTCATAAGTTTGATGAAAAACAATCACTTTATGTATTTGGAATTAATTTATGAGACCAAGTAAATGTTCTGAATATAATGATTGAAGTGGTGATGTCATGGGTTGCGTTGGGTCTACCCCACGCAACCCATTCCAAATGTTTGTTAAGGTAGATAAGGGACCAGGCGAGCAGTGATTCTGTCATCACTATTTCATTAGTGGATATGTGAGCTAGTCAGCCAACTCCAAAGTTATTTTACTAGAGATAAGGCACCCGGTCAGCCATAACTGCTACACATTTTCCATTAGTGGTATGATATTCTTCCATAGGGGGAGGCCAGTGAGACAGTGTTGTACTGTACTGTTCAGCGCCTCACGCCCCAAAAACCTCATTTGAAGTAGTATCCCCTAGGGCCTAGGTCCTCACCCTCTCCCTCCTGAAGGGACCGGGTCACCACACACAGTCTCCACCGCCACCCTGTCCTGTGGACCTTCGTTGACACGAGATTAAGTGTGTTAACCTAGGTTTGTTATCCCCGTGGAAATATCACATGTGGATGCCTGGTTGCAACAAGAGCAATCCAGGCTGGCCTACCAAACCTACAGTAAATGGTTAATCAATTCACGCTTACAGAGTTCTCCTGCATGACACCCGTCTACAGTGACCATGATCGACACGAGACTAAGTGTGTTAACCTAGGTTTGTTATCCCCGTGGAAATATCACGTGTGGAAGCCTGGTTGCAACAAAAGCAATCCAGGCTGGTCTATTGCGCCAAGTGGTTAATTCAAGTCACGCCTACCAGTTCTCCTTGCCGCGACAACCGTCTACAGTGACTGTCAGTGACGAGAGACTATGTGTGGTGACCCAAGAGTACCTTTGTGTTGTTATTCCCCGTGAAAGAAGTTCTTGTGATGAAGCCTGGTTGCAACAAGAGCAATCCAGGCTGGCAGTAAATGTCTCACTTGAAGAATTAAGGCTCTGTTAAGTCATACCCATAGTAGAGTAACCACATGTGTTCCCAAGTTGAAAATTCCCTCTTTAGAAGATTAATTTTATTGCAGTGTGAATGTGAGTGACTCATATATCCATGCAAATTGTAAATCATTGTATGGAAGCTTGACAAATAAATGTAAGTGCAATTATCTGCCCGTATCTGTGATCCTATCTTATTATTACTAAAGGTAATGACTGATTGGTTATGACAAAGTATAACCAATAACTTAGATGGATGTTGGAAATTAATGGAACTCATTAAATCATCATTTATCAAGTATAAATCATGGAATGTCGGGTGGTGGAGTGAATTTCTACGTAGATACACCATAATCTCCTGTAAGTACCAGTGTGAAGGTATCGAACTCTGCGGTAAGAAATATAAGAAACACAATATATTATAATCTTTATATAATATATACCACTCTACTACCACTACGATAGCCAAAACCATGACAGGTGACAACAATGAGAGTAAAAAACCCACTGTTGAACGGCCTTTACAAGTTTCAGAAAGAGGTAATATTGTCATATCGGTCACTTATAGGGTTGTACAAAATGCTCCAGAAGTCTTTTAATCTTGAATTCATTCTAACTATAAAACTAAATCAAGATTGTCTGGAGCATTTGTTTGGGTGGATAAGACAGATGCATGGAACCTACGACCATCCAAATGCTGTGAATTTTAGTTCAGGTTCAAGAAGTTATTGCTGGGAAAAGACGTTTAACTAATTTCTGAGAAATTTAACACAACTAATGATAATTTTCACTGCTTGTCAAGAAATATTGGTCTTAGACAAACAGATGATAAAGGTACACCTTTCAATGAAAGAGAGCTGACAGTAGAACTCTATATAACTAATCAATGTTTCAAAGACTTGGATATTGGCAATGAAGTAGAAAAAGAGTTAAGTGATGAGTTTAATGAAAACCTAGGAGAGTGTATAAACCCTGATGAAAATGACGGTAAAGCAATAGATTTAGTTCTAGAAGAGGACTATATTGTAAGAAGGTTTTGCGTGAAATACTCTCACTTAGCCCAGAAAGTCACTGAGTGTACATCCATGACTAAAACATGAACAGAAGAAATAAACAGAGGTGAACTGTATGTTCCTTCTAACACTCTATTAACCATTATGAGAGACGTATTTAAGGCTGTACATGGGGACAGTCTTAAGGAGGGGAAAGACTGTTTCAAAACAATTGTGTCTGAGATAGAGTTGATGTACACCATGATGCTTTAACCTTCTTTGCCAAATATCTGTGTTCTTTAAACTGAACAGCAGTATTAGGATAAATAAGAAAACAAGTAAGAATTGCAGAAGTGAAAATAGAAAATTTATGAAAATATCAAAATGATAGGAAAAACAGATTGTCTTGGGTTACAGTTGATGTAAATCATACATGTTATTTATTTATGACATGTGTGTGTAATAAAATGTAAGTTATCATGATATATTTATTCCCCTTTTAGATGCACACACACAGTTATGAACTCAAGTCCACAGATAAATTGCACTGAAATAAGCGCATGAATTTCAGGAAATTAGTAAGAATATTCAAATAATGCCAGGTCTCCTTCCCTCCACAATGAAGGGACGAAAGACAGCCTCCCTTACTAAAGCTACATCTTTCTCCTCCTTTCCGAGCTAAACCCTCCTATACCAGGATAAAGGAAACGGGGTTATGATGATGATGATACTGGAGGGGGGGGCAGCCAGCTGTAGTTCACGTGACGTCACTGCGGAGAGCCAGCGAAAACTAGACCGCTGTCCGTCGGACTTCTCTATATTGACCTTAAATAGGAGATAACTCAGCCGCGTTTCGTGGCGAACCTATCATGAAGGTAATAACGCTACGTAGCCACCAGCCTGGCATCTTGTGTTATTGTGCTCGGTAACGTCACATACATCACAACATTCTTTGTCTTCTCTTATTTCCTTCTGCACTATTATTTACCGGTGCGGACAAATACCTAAAAACAATTCTTGAAAAATCTGTGACAAAGGTGATGAATGAGCGAGACATCGTATTTTATGTGGAGGTGTGTGTGTGAGCGAGAAAGCTGGAGGTAGAGCACAACATAGGATCCTGTCAGTCATCATGTCAACGTCATGTTCATGTCTTGACGGCGCGAACAGTAGCATTTACTGTATTATCATAATGGGGTAAATAACCACAAGCGTGGTGGTGTGTGAAGGAAAACACAAGTGTGTCGAGGGGCTACATTCCTGCGGTGAGGACCTGTGACCATCACTGACCCCTGTCTTTACACTTAATCATAAGCCAAATATACAGTTATGGTGGCCCAACCTTCAACTTCACTGGTAAGACAGCTACGAAGGTTTATTGTGATGCGTTTATCCTGCCACTCCTGACCATCTGGCTCCCGTAGAAAAGACAAAGCACCACACTTTAGCCAGCAGTTGGTGGTAACACCCGGGAAGTGTTCTTTAATGCTTCCAGGCCGATGGATCGCTCCTCACTTAACACCTCGCTACACTTAATTATTTCTTGTAGCAGTAATAAACTCGTCGAACTTTGGCCATCCATTCAGGCCAATTTGGACAGGAGTTAACGAGTCTCAAACTGATAATTACACGACTGCCACAAACTGTGCACTAAAGGTTCCCACAGGTGGCGACCAGAAACAGTGTAGTTGTAACCAAGTGATGCAGTGTTCGCCATGCTAATGTACAGTAAGTGTGCCTCAGCAGGGAGTAGGCCTCAGTCTGTACACTTATGTTACAGGTCAGGCCAACATATCCACAGTTACAGGTGTGTACTAAACCAGATGACCATTACTCCTCTACCACAACACCTTCACGTTTCAATAACTATACAGTAATATTACGTTTCTCTAATTATGTGAAAAATAAATAAATTATCTTAAACGACCTGAAGGAAAAACAAATCTAATAAACTCCATTCACTTGAAAAATGTGAATCATATACACACATACAAACAAACATACATACATACATACATACATACATACATACATACATGCATGCATGCATACATTTTCTGTTACTTGGGGGGTTAAATAAATTGGGGAATCACACTGCCTTATCCATCATTAATGTTTTAAATTACTGATAATGTCTACAATGAGCTGTTTAACCCTTCAAAAGACGACACCATGGGGAGAGAGAGAGAGGAACACCATCCCCATCAATACTAGGGATGTGGTCACTGGGAGACTCTTGTGGGCAGCCTCGTGGTTGTCACAAGTGGGCCGCCATATAAACAACAGTTTCACCGAGGCAAGAAATCTCACCTATCTACTGTATACAGCACCAGACTCTCGAGGCATGACTGAGCACTGTAAAATGAAAATAGTACCACGTAACTGACGGTGTTGACAAAAAAA